ACCCGCCCCCCACTCGCCCCCGCCAATGTCATCGTCCATCGCGATGTTTCACTGTAGACATCGTCTGATGCCAATTTTGTAGACATCGCCTAACCCTAGCTCCAGCTAGAAGCATAACGATGGACCCCCCGAAAACGTCATTTTAGGTCAGCGGCTCTTATCTGGTGGGCCGTTGGTCTGTTATCTGGGAAAAAATTATGTTAAATTAAAATAAAATGCAACTAACCATTTAATTGTGCACAATAAAGAGGTTTATAAACTTTTAAAATGCATCCCTATCAGTTATTATTGACGTCCTGGTCAAACTCCACAGTATTTTGGCACAGATTCAGCTATGGCTTGGTTATGTAGTTAATACTAACACAATACTAAATGTAAAAGCAATTAAGAAACAGCTTTTGGTTATACTGGCAAATTGATGCAAAAGACATATCTAAATCTGAGGTGTGATTTGTATTTGCCTGAAAGCAACTGAATTCAAATAGAATAAAAATCACTGTTTGCAGCATTTCTCTGCTCCCAGAAGGCTGATTTTATAACGGTTTGGTTCAGGCAACACGCGAAACCTATTTGGAGTGTCAAGATTAAACTGTGCCGTCAGGGTTTGTCAGCGTGTATTGCATTTCCTCGGTCAACTTCCTGGGCAAAACAGAGCCGAGGAAGAGAGGCTGAAAAGACACGGATTGACGAGATGAATCAGCGAATGACAAATCTTTTTCCCAAAATGGGAGCACTGGACACACAGGTCAGGGCAGGGGTGATTCTGACCTGCTTGACAGATTGAGCAGCTCGTGCTTGTCAGCCACCGTACTCTTCTCTTGCAGATCCAACAGGAGCACGTTTATGAGATGAGAGTTCTTGATGACGATGGGGACTTCCTCGAACATGTGCTCGTAGCCAATGCAAGCCTTCTTCAGCCTGAGAAAAACAAGTAACTCAGAGTTACAAAAAGCCTTCTGTATCAACAGCAAAATATGAAGAAAATAGAGTTTTAACTGGTAATATTATTTAAAAAGATATGAATACTTTTACTCAGCAAAGATGCATTTAATTGATCAAAAACAGACATGTATAATGTTACAAATACTTCTATTTCAAATAAATGCTGTTCTTTTGAACATTCTATTTATCAAAGAATCCTGAAAAATGTATCACTGTTTCCATCAAAATATTAGGCAGCACAACTGTTTTCAGCATTAATAATAATAATAAGAGATGTTTCTTGAGCAGCAAATCAGCATATTTGAATGATTTCTGAAGGATTGAAGACTGGAGTAATGAGCTTTGCATCACAGGAATAAATTGCATTTTAAAATAAATATAAACATAAAACAGTTATTTTTAAATTGTAATAATACTCTAAAATATTAGTTTTACTGTATTTTTGATCAAATAAATGCAGCCTTGGTGAGCAGAAGTGTGTATATATATATATATATATATATATGTGTGTGTATGTATATATATGTGTGTGTATATATATATATATATATATATATATATATATAAAGATGTTCGTATGAGTGAAACAATCTGTACAATCTGTACAATGTGAAGGCATCTATAAATAACTATAAATAGCTAAATATAAGTTATAAATAACTAAATAACTAAGACAACAAATCACAATTCAGTTTGCAGATATTAAAATGACCATCACCACCACTGGTTACATTCTGAATACTGAGTGATCTAAGATAAAAAATAAAAAAAAGTGTTTAAATCTACAATTTTAATTTACAATTCATTAAATTTTACTTTACAATTAACATCCATCTCTGGTGATTGAGTGGCCAGCATTTTTGATCAAATAAATGCAGCCTTGGTGAGCAGAAGATACTTTTCATATACAAAAAAATTGCAGACCCCAAAATTTTGAAGTGTAATGTATGTATATATATATATGTATATATACATGTATGTATGTATGTATATGTGTGTTACGTTGTTCATTCAAAATATTGTAGAAAAAGAGAACAATCAATGCGGGGAAGATGATGTTTACGTCAAAACCGAAACCAAGCCGTTCACACAGAACGCATATTTATCGCATTTTCTATAGGGACAGTGATGGCGCTACACTGGGGCTAGGGGGGGCTATAGCCCCGTCAGAATTTTTAATAGCCCCGGTTTAGCCCCATTTCTTTATGAAGTAACTCGGACGTCATCAATATCATTTATTTTCTTAGCACCCCCACATACTGGTCTAGCCCCCCCTTAGCACCAGTAGAGAAAAAATTCTGACGCCGTGACTGTAGAGGGACATTTACTCGTTCTCGAGTCAAGAACCGGTTGCATCGGTTTTCAGATCACCGGTACACTCAACCGAGAACCGGTTTCTTTCGGACACGTCCGATTTGAGAACCAATGAGCTCATAACTGCGCATGCGTGTCATTTTTCAAGAGGATGAAAAGCATGTTATTCAAGTATTTTATTAAACATCAGAAAGTGTGATAATATATATATATATATTATCACACTTTCTGATGTTTAACAAAATACTTAAATAACATGCTTTTCATCCTCTTGAAAAATGACACGCATGCGCAGTATCATGAGCTCATTGGTTCTCAAATCGGACGTGTCCGGAAGAAACCGGTTCTCGGTTGAGTGTACCGGTGATCTGAAAACCGATGCTAATTGTAAACTTTTCAGATCATGATTATGATGTTTTAATTGACTGAAGTTATGATTACTGACTTTATATATTTGAATGTGTATTTTTATCCTGGCCCAGGACGATAGACTTGATATCATTACGTCATCACGAATGACGTCATTACGTTAGGGCGTAAAAGAACCGATGAACCAGTTTTTTGAACCGGTTCATTGAAACGAACCGTCCAAAAGAACCGGCTCGCGGAAAAGAACCGGACTTCCCATCACTAACATCTATCAACGGTGCAATCGCACAAGAGAACCGCATGTTTAGAAAGCTATGTAAAATTAATGTAAGTTCAACTTTTAAAAAACATGTCTCAAGACTTTATGGCGGTTTTCCCCATCCCACTGCATCTCAAGTTTTTAAATGAAGAAAGTACTCTTTGTGATTGGTTTTCGGTCCTTTGTAGCCTATTAAACTATACATACATGCATGATGCTGTTTTGTTTCTAATGGTTTAAGCAACTTTATTAATTATATAAGGTTTATAAACATTATTTTAAACATTATGCACTTTTTTCAAAGATAGCCGTGTTATTTTATTATGCTTTGAAGAAACGTGCATAATATTTTGCTCGATGCGCCCTCTTGTGGCCTCAGGAGAGAAGCCAAAAGCTTTTTTTCCCCCCTAACTGAAATTATGCCTTTTAAATCTGAATATAATTCGAATTTTGATAATATTTAAGTAGAAAATTCGAATTTAGTTTTTCAGTCATTTTGACAGCCATACTTTCCATCAACAGGCCAACCAAAACCAGTGCATACAACTCCACACAGGTTTCCCAACATCTTTTTACTAATGTATTTCCTTAATTTGTAGAGTCAAATATTATTACTGTCAGATTCTTGAAATAAATGTAGACAAAATTTCACAACAAACAAATATAGAGTGTATCTTTATAAAACATTTTATAATATTTTATAACAATTTCTCAAACATAAAACATTTTATTGCTGAGTGTAACTAGAAAAATATAAATTAGTAATATTTATAATTTTATGATGTGCAGTGGTGGCCAAAATTATTAGAGCACTTGTATTTTCACCAGCTAAAATATGGTTTTAAGTCAGTTATTTCTATCTTTTGCTGTAGT